CACTCTCACCTTTTTCGCAGAGCTTACTTCGTTCGACATATCCTCACCTTTCCTCATCGCCTCCAAAACGAGTGTTGGTGCCCTGATGTAAGAAACCCTGGTAGAACCAGGTTGCCTCACATGCTCGTCAGTTCCGAAGCCAGGCTGTGGTAAAGGTGGCCCTTGCCACACTTGCACATCCTGGCTGGTTCCGTCCGCCACGGTGACGGTGATACGTTGGCCCTCAGTACCGTCACACCACTTCCTGCTGTCAGGAGTTACAGCTGATGTTGTCCTCAACACTGTGAATAGCTTTTCACGGCTGTGAAAACCTAATTTGCAGGAGCACAGAAAGCAAAGAACGTTCTTCTATCACTTCGTCATCTTCATTTCGTGCCTTGTTTAACCACGCAGCAACCAACAGCGCCATATGCAGCCGTCACTAACTGCACCGTCGTTGTAACCCTACCACATTACCCAGGCGCCTTTTCCAACAGTGACAAGGATGTAAAAAAAAATGGCTTCAGCTATACGAACGGGTGAGCGCACTATACAACTGCGACCCAACGCTCATGTTAGCCAATACTCTTTTTCACTTTCAGGGCACGGCCAAAGTTTGGTTTCCTAACCATGAGGAAGAGATCACGAGTTGGGACATTTGCAAATGGTAACCCATTGACCTCTTCGGCAAGCCAATTGGGCGTCATCGTGCGCCCCAGAAAGAACTCGCGTGCCGACTCCAGTCTTGCACCGATTCATACGTGCCATACATTCAAGAGTGTGCTCACCCTCTGCCGCACGGATGACGATAAGATGTCAGAATTCGAAAAGGTTGTCCACATACTGAAAGAAATCGCGGATGATGTCTCTGCTCTTCTCGAGTTCCGCAACTCATCGACAGTGTACGACGTTATTAATTATTGCCGATGCTTTGAGGAAGCCAGAAGTCGTCGTATTATCATTCACTTTTCGCGTCTTCTTAACGCGGCTGCAACATACCTGCGAAGACGTCCATTCACAACCAGCCACTGCTCTTTCCGACAATATTGTGTGCATCGACCACCATGAAATTGAGGCCACGTTTCCTATTCCTGATCAAGCCCGTGCCACTGACGATTCTCACGCAACAATTTCGTTAATCCACACCGTTGTGCGCCAGGCACTGGTCAACGCCGAACTTCAGACGCTCTGCCCAGTTAACAGACCTGACTGACTTCGCAGTGTACCTGATATGTCCCATGGTTCGTACAACCGTCCACGTTACAGGAACTCGGCTGAATGGCATACCTCCGATGACAAACCGATCTTTTTCTGCTGCAGACGAGTCGTCCACATATCACTTCGTTGCCACAGTTGCTGGAATTGACAGCGATGGACGCACTATGCCAACAACCGGCGCCCACCTAATCGTTCTCGCATACCGATACGCTGACCAGGACGACGATTCGCTATCCATGACCACTCAAGCAAACCACTCACCATCGCCATCCGGACGCCTGCCCCACTCACCTAACCATCACCGCTCTGCCTCACCACCGCCAGTCCTCAGAAAACTAACGGGCGCAGCTCCTAGTGATGAGCCTGCCTTGACGACCCGATCATAAATTCCTCTAGACACGCTACCAGGACACAATACCTTCATCAACGTAAATGTAGACGGCACAACTGTAATATAGCACTCATTGACACCGGCGCTCACATATCGGTCATGAACTGCAGCCTTCGGGCTCGGCTAAAGAAAGTGATCACCCTTGCTTCTGTCACTGTAGCCCGAGTAGTGCCACATCAGCTGTCACTGGGATGTGTGCCGCCCGCGTCACTGTTGCTGGACGGCATACCTCTGCTCTGGTTTACATCTTGGACAATTGTCACATGAAATCATTCTGGGACTAGATTTTCTGTCAGAGAATACCACCCTAATTCATTTTTCTGTTGGTGTGTTCTGCTGGTGTTGTTCCGAGATAGCGGGCGCGATCTCGGAGGCCATGTCTCGCTCCACCTAGATGCTGCTAGAGCTTGCAGAGGCCACTGGTGTGGCCGTGTTGACGGGATGCCATGGCTGCTTCCACCGCGGTGCAGGTGGTGGTCTCCTCAAAGGCGCGTGGCATGGGTGACTGCCTGGGGTCGTTGTGGTGCTGCCCTCCGATGCACTATAGGTCGGCGAATGGTAGCTTACCAGCGAAGCCTCGTGATACGCGCTGCCGGACTTCTTAGAAGCTCAGGTTCAGTTGGAGTTTGATATTGCGAATTCCTTTTTTTACAGTGAAAGCTGTTATGAGATCAAAATTCGGGTCCCGCGTGGTGCCGTAGCTGTCTGCATCCACAGCCTGTGTCCGTAACCACTGTCGCACGAAAGAAAAAAAAATACCTAGTACAAAGGACACAATAAGGCTCGAAGCCGGGTCCGCTGCGTGCCAGCCCAGTATTCTACGACTGACCCACGCCGGAGCTTGGGACTTGCTCGCAAACTTGCTTTAGCTATACTTGTTGTCGGGAAATGAATCGCGTTACTTTGAGTAATGAAACATTTTAGAACAGCAAAAGAACAACCAGGCGTCACACAATGCGAATAGCGTAACGAGAGTCCAATGCTCTCACCCATTACAAAAGCTAGTTCTTGATCACCAATTAACTGTGGTGCATACCCACTTCAGGAATAATTCCTCATCGTCGTCAGTCTCTGCATCAACAATTGGCACGAAATTCCTTGCAAGTGTTTAGTGGATACTACGCTTCTCAGAAGAATGACGAAGGATGGCATAGCGAATGCGGGCCTACTACCCGTATTATAGTTAATGCCGTAGCGGCTACCCAGCAAGTGTGCTTGCAGCAGTTACCCCATCAGTGCTTAGAAACGGCTCTGAAAGGCCGCTGTGACTGTGCTGCGCCTTCCGCGCAGGCCTGGAGTTTTTTTTTTTTTTTTCTAGCAAGTACACGATCTGAAATGCGCGGAAAGGGTTCTATCGCTCTTGACAAAATGGGCCTCAGCCTCAACATAGCATTCATCAAAATAGTGTCCCACTGTGACACATTTTATACAATTGAAATGCTCATGGCAAACGTATACATGCCCGAACATATGGTACTTGAAACAGCGCCGATGGTTCGGGATGTAGGACCTGGTATACCATTTGATATATCTTGTTTTCAATACGCCTGGTAGTGTACTAGTTCCAAGGGTGAGCATTGCCGCCATTACTCAATCGTTGCGTGACCAGGAATGTAACGCAAGGGATAACTCTTCATTGCGTCCCAAAAAAAATGTTATTTCTGTATTCCAGTGTAACGCGAGGGTCATCTATAGCCAGCGAAAATTGGGGAGGCGTTGGGGGGGGGGGGGGGGGGGACCCTTGTTAAATTCGAGTAAGCGCAGCAGGCGTCTGGTCGGTAGTCACCTCTCCTCATTTTCATCCGCTGCTCATGTACGCAATTTTTCTCCTTCCATCCGTCCAACAGTTCATTATCAGAGAGACCTATGAGGTTATCGTCTGAAACGACACCGTTATGTTCATTGTGTGGTGTGCCCGAACAGAGATGGGGTTGTCGCTAAATGTCACAAAGCTTCTTCACTTTTCATGTTTGTCTTTGACTTCAGTCAGCAGGCCTCCACTCGCCAATTTGATGGCCTTGAAACCACTTCCAGTGGTTCTAAGTGAGGCATCTAGATAATAGGAATTAGGAGATATTTGTCATTTTCGTGACTGTATTACCTGGATGAATCACGTGATACATTGGATAGATTTCATTTTTGTTCTGCGGGAAGAATGGGGCTTCATCGGTGCTCCCTCTTCTACCAAAAGTATGATCAGGGAGGAGTGGAAATGCGTTCAAACCCACGAAAGATGATTTGATTTTGGTAGCGACTAAAGCCGCCCACCATCGAGCCCAACAAAGGGTCGCTACAATGCTGCAAAACTTGCAGGAATCTCAGACACAAGTTGTATGAGACCACCATAACCTCATATAGCATGTCCAATATTGAGTAGTGTACACCAATTGAGGTAACCCTTGCTACCAGAAAAAAAAACAGAAACTGAAGACAATAGAAGAAAGGAAAGGTGAGGTGAAAAATGATAGACGAAAATATCAAGGGAAAAAAGAGACAGGAAAAGGTGGCTGCCAACAGCCCTTGGGTGGATCAGCCCAGGGGTGCCGTTTACGTGAAGCCGGGGCCAAAGAGGTGCGTTGGCTCCGCCAGGTGGCCTTATCGGATTAATCACCCGACATCGGCTTAACCCACACAATCCCCTTTTTTCAGGATACAGCAAAGCCACGCATGGCGAGGAGTGGGAGGATGTCGACCCTCCCATCCTTCTGGCTTGGGTCCGTTGTGACACCGCTCATCAAAAACCTGCTTGCACAAACGCCCCTGAAGGGTAGATGAAAAAAAAATATACGTTCACATCAGGTTCCACAAGACACTGCTAGACAAAATATCTAATGTGAATAGCACAAGCATTTAGAGTGTCCCGCATCGTTTTTATGAGAGACCACAACCGCTTTGAGACTGAAAAAGGCATAGCCGTGAACTTGCTCTAGAATACAAACCAATGCGCCTTTCAGTGAGACGTATTGTCACCTAACCATTGACGAAGAAATAATCTGCGCTTTACGATAATGCGCTTCCCCAAACTAGTTGGCCGTCTTTCGTGAAAAGTAGCCGACAGCACGGTTCTCTTCCTGTTTGCAGATATCGTGGACTAAATTAATGGTACGTACAGTGAATATAGGTGCTTTCGGCTATAATATAAACATTTTTTATAGTGAAAGCCTCTAATAAAGGTGGCCTTTGGGCATTGTAGTTGGAAGCATATATTGAGACTCTTCAAACTTTGTTGCCGTCAGCGACATACCTGGTGCATCTAAAAAAGCAAAAGATTTGATTTTTTTGGCGTATTTACTGCAAGAAGGCGGTGCGAGACAAGACACTACACGTCACTCAAGCATTCTTAGCTACGAATGAACAGCCGTCTCGTAGGCCTGCCGAATTATTCCCGAATATATCACGCAGAAAAGCTCACCCTTGCCACTTGGCAGGTCATTCTGCGACAAGCACCGACCGTCAAGCACCTTCTCGAAGATGATGGCGATGAGTTGCTTGAGCCGGGCAACGTCCTTGAGAGGCGTCAGCTCCTTGGGCACCGGTGGCAGTTCATCGTCAGGCTGGCCCATCTGCAGCTGGTAACAGATGGCCGCCTCCAGCTTCTCCTCCCATCCCTTCCAGAGCGTACATAAACGGACAGGGGTTTTCGATGACATATGCAAGAAAACAACGTTCTTTAGGGTTAGGCCGGCTTCTCACCGAGGGACATGCAAATGAAACCTCACTGCGTTCAAAAAGAATTCATTGATGGGCTAGTTGGTACGTGTCTTGATATATAGCGAGTCCTCGTGCCTTAGCTCTGCAAGTACGCACGATATATCTGACTGCGTGCCTTACTTTTCATCCAATTCAGGTTAAATTTATACAGTTACTTTTTTTTTTCCTCTTCTCTCCATGAGCAGTGATGTTTTACATATGGTTGCGAAGCAGATAAATGTAGACGTCTGTAAATGTTCAGCTCAGAAGTATGCGCAGGCCCATATAGCAAGCAGCCTTGATAAAAGTATGTTCAAGACAAGCCCTTATTCCAACCAAGAAAATGCGACGCACTAGATAGAGTGATAGATAATAAGCTTAGAAAACTCAATGTACAAGAAGAAAGTAAAACATCATTATCGAAAGATTGCATCATGAGGAAAAGCGACAAAACTTTATATAGCCCAGGCCACCAGAGAAGCAACAACCCACGCAACTTTTCACAGTGATCCACAGCCGTCGATCTCCCTCTATCTCCCTTAAGGCTGTTTCAAATGTCACGACTGCTGCAAAAAAAAAAAAACCATTCCGTTCGCTCTGTTCACAACCGCCGCTAATGACGGTTTCGTTTCACATGGGCTGCGAATGGTCGGCGATTTTCGCTCTGCGACTGGCACGGCGAAGAAAATTACCTGCTGCTGTTCATTGTGGCAGACACACTGCCCAACTTTTCAGACATAATGTGACAATCTGCTCATTATGGCATTATTGAGTTTTCAACGGTGACGAAAAGCACGCGGGTTTTGTCGCTTAAAAACACTTTATAGTATAAATATCATTTTTAAGTGCGCAACAACGGCCAACACCTAAGCAAACATGTCAACGCAGTTTTAAAGGCTTGGCCCATCCAGCACTATTTCAACGGCTTCCTACCTAAAAATCTCTTCGCCGTTGTGAACAGAGCGAGAAATTTCCAACATGTTCATCGCTCACTGCTGACCCTGCATGCGGCAGGAGTGAACGTCCCTTCTTGTCGCTGCGAGTGAATTGGCAGCCTGAAAACCGCTATGTTTTGTGTAATGTGAAGCGGCCTACACTCTCTTTCCGGAGTGAAAAATTGACGGTGGTTTAACTCAGTTATGCCAAGCGTGCGTCTTGTTCTTCCTCCGTCTTCTCAGCTGTCTGATTGCTTTCGGTTTCGTTCCGACGACGAAACATGAAGTCTGTCTCTGCGACTCACTTTCCGTATGTGCAGACGAATTCCAGCAAGCCCCTCTTTCTCTATTTACACGATGCAACGCCAGCTCCTAATCTGTTGTTGCAACGTGGTTTCACCGGCTCCTCCTCTGCCATCGTGACGGATGGCACGGCGAGCGACTCTGCGCCAGCGGCGGTGCCGAGCCGCTGGCGCAAATACTGACAGTGTCTAGAAATATTTCTAGATACTGACAGTATCTAGAAATGTTGCGGTCAATGTAGCTCTCGCTGCAAAACTTCACAGCTTTTTTTATGGAGCCTTGGCTGCGACGCCCTTTATTATTATTATTATTATTATTATTATTATTATTATTATTATTATTATTATTATTATTATTATTATTATTATTATTATTATTATTATTATTGCTGTTGTTGTTGTTGTTGTTGTTGTTGTTGTTGTTGTTGTTGTTGTTGTTGTTGTTGTTGTGTTGTTGTTGTTGTTGTTGTTGTTGTTGTTGTTGTTGTTGTTGCATAGGAGAAGCTGTTGTTTTCTCCCAGCCGGGCGTTGAGCTATGGTATACCTCTATGGCTGCAAAATGCAGTGTAAATTTTTACTCTTTTGCACGAACTACCCCACACATTCCCTCATAACATGGTGCTTGCCTCTAAGCACTGAAATTATTGACACTACCACTACGGCTCAGCTGATTGACAACGAAAAGGCCGTCATTTAGCCGGAAGTGACACAACATGGGATCATGCGTACAAGGCCGTACCAATGTTTCTTTAGTTTTGAAGGGCGTTTTTCAGTCCCGCTACTTATTATTTTGTCTGAGCACGAAGACGATGTCTTTAGACCATATTCTGGAAGTGTAAAAGCCCGGCTTTTTTATTCAATTGACATAGCCTGCATGCAAATTTAACGCTGCATTTGCAAGAATGGCAGCTTTCGCCCAGAAATTATCTACGCAGGCATGAGAAATTGAAGCCATAGTGCATCAGTGTGGGGCATTTTTGATAGTGTAACTAAGCCGGTAGTTTATTCAGAGCAATACAGATGAGGAAGGGGGGGTCTACTTACGTAGTTGTAGAATATTCACTTTTTCAAAGATATCAAAAGTTCAGGGACAAGACACAGCTCATAAACTCCGAAGTGATGAATAAAGTATTGGAGATCGTTTCGCAAAACTTCTACAAATTATATAAAGCAACATTAATTTTCATAACGTGTGATGATACAGCGCAGCTGAAGCCTTGTTGTGTACATAATAATACCCAAAAATTTTTTGTTTGACTACTTTTATTCATCCTCTGCTATGCACATGCTGGTATCATATTTCATTCTGCGTATATTATCTATTAACAATAAGTATGAAACGCTGGTGAGTTTTGTGAACCATAGAAGCAAAAATTGACCCTACATCATTGAACACACTCCCGATTAATCAACTTAGACACCTGAAAGTTCTATTGAACTTGGACACTTCGCCTAATTCAAGGTACTGTCTGTAAACACCAAAAAACAACTGTGTTCAACTTGTGGTTCCTTACTTCATGAGGATTTCGGTTCTTGTGGTTAGGAATAAATATACGCGGTTACCCGTCTTGAAGTTGGCGCTGCCTCTAAAGGGATATACGCAATTTATTAAAAAAATAATTTTCTTTCGCCAAATGACACTTTCTATACCCCCAAATTTTGTGCGCCCATCATGTCCTACAGGGCAGAATTGCTCTAATTATTAGCGTTTGACTCATTGGATGTGTGTTCGCACCATTTCCTCACAACATGGTACACGTCTCCTGGTGCTAATAGGACCAGTGAGTGCAACTGAGCTTTATCTGATTCTCAACAAAAATACCACCATAACAAGCGCATAAACAAACACTCTGCGAATCACGCAGACCGTCGGAAAAACATCAGGCAAAAGTAGGGATGCACAGGCGCTATATCGTGGGTCCTCCAAGCCAAGTAAATGTCCTTATAAAGTCATCGTTTTTGTATCAACTCTCTCTGGGACAAACGTGGAATAGTTTTTTCTTTTTTTTGTTTACCAGATTCCTACCTCTGTAATGGCTGCGTCCAGGTCTACATGAAAGATGTCTTGTAAGATCTTGTGGTCTTCATTACTCATTTGGGTTTTCAGCTTCAGTAGTAATACAACCAGTTGACTCGCGGAACTGAGCTTCGAGAGCATGCGCTGGTATTCGCCCGTTGTCTCCACCGCACGCTTACCCAGGCCGAGAAGCTGAAAAAAGAAGGGCGAAAGGCATGTATCGCAAATGTGTCATTTCGTATTTACAGAAGTCAATTGCATGTGATGGCTACAAGCATAGAACAGACCGATAACTGCCGTGATCGCTGTTTCGGGGAAAGAGAAAGAAGGCGGTCCGCAAGACAGACAGCCGACCATGTGTAACGCTCACCTCTCTCTGCGTAACTTCCAGCAAGGAGTCTAAATTGTTCAGTGGAGTGGGAGTCTTGTCCTTGAGCTTGGTGAGAACACACTTTTGTACTACGCGAAATTGAGCTGCTCTTTGGCTTAGTAGTTCTTCAACTTCTAGTGCTTCCTGTCTCACCTGTGAGAATAAAAGAACCAATCACGGTTATTAGCGGTCGCTACCAAAGTCATGGTATTTACGATAACGATAAACCCATGACTGCGTCGTGCACCGCCTGGTGACACGGCCCACTATACAGTCGTCTAAACATCGTTCATTTATCGGAAGTCCCCATACCACCCAACTAAAGAGAGTCACAAAGCATCGCAGCAGCAGCCTTTTTAAATGCGATCACTACAGACTTCACCAATGTTTATGTTCTCACATAAGTCGCCAAACTCACCCATGACTCGACTGTCTCAGATTGAGTCAGATTAGTGCGAGCCGTGAGTATGAGCCCGAGGGAGTTTGGGTGAGCAAAATCTTCGTGGACTTGAGTTCCGTTGAGTCCCGTTTTTGGTGAGGCTGAGTCAAAGCGAGTGCAGGTTGAGCGAATTTGGGTCAGTCTTGAGTCAGACTAAGCCTCAAAGGCAAAATATATATCTTGAGTGAGTCTGAGTGAGCTCCACGTTTTAAGGTGAAAGGCATTATTGTATCATGTTCAGGTCCATCCGTTGGTCCGTGCCCTAGCACGATGCCATGGATGTGGCCACCGGGCGCACCCACGGACGTCGGGCTCTACAGTGCTTATGCCTTGCTTGCGTAGCGTCGCTGTGACCAGCGTGTCCAATCATGCGAGAAAGGAGAGTCGCGCATCGCGTTCCATTCTGACTGATTCCGTCTCAAGGGACATGGGCGTTCGCCGAACACACTTCGGGACATACAACAGGTATTTCAATTTTTAGGAATAAAAAACGTTTATTACAGAAAAAAAGGAAATAAGGGTCAGAAGCAGGTGGGTGGAGCCCCAGTCAAGGGCTCCACTGGCCTCACCAATCCGCTGCTCCTGGTTCAGGAGCGCCACTTGCGCCTTCTTTTCTAGCTAGCGAGCAAGGTCTCCCACTGCTCCATTTTGAATTTTTTCGCCGGAATCTTAGGCATACTAATTTTGGCTGGCCTTAACTCACATTCCTATGTAATGTGGGCAAGTGCTGGCAGTCCTCCACACCATGGTGCACGGGCAAGAACCGGCGTATGCGGTTGGGTGCATCACATGTTTTAAACGTGGGTGCAGATATGTATAGATGACCTATGTGTTGTAACGTCACTAGTGTATTTACGATTACACTATTAATGACACAGCGCTGCAATAACAGCATACAACCGAACATCATCTATCTAAAAAAAGACGCTGTCAAGCAGGTACTCAACACGTTTTGTCAAATATTTCACGTTGGCTGATCATGTATGCAGAAATGCCGTAAATCGCCCCATTTCTAGCAGGCATTGCAGAAAGCAAACAGCTTGTGACAAAAGCGCATGCCCTTGTTAACTTGCGGTGTGCACCAAATGGTAATCTAAGTTAGGGGTGGGTACACTCTTTTGTTTACAGCACAAGTAAAACTTACATCATATAGCGAAATGTTAAAGGATTGATATTAGAGACGTTAAAAAGTTATTTGTTAGTAAACCGGTACAAAATTGAATACGCTTGCACAGGAAGGAGTGCGTTGGGGATCACAGGGAGAGGCCTTCGTCCTGCAGAAGACATGTGATAGTCTTATTACGATGTTAATGAGCGTAATGATGATCATAAGCATACGGGAATACGGTGACGCGCACGCAGGTGACGACGCGTGTCACAAGTCAGAATTGGTGCTTTAATCGCCAAATATGAAAATACCGCCTTTTTTCAGCCACATGATATCTTCTCACGCTCTCGTCTGTCGTTCTCTGCAGAAGCGACCGTGAGTACACTGATTTATTTTGTTTTTTTTTCAGCAAAACACATTCCGCTATTCCAATTCCATAATTCTAAACCATCATTCTGCTTCCATTATTAAATTATTCCAAACGTCGACATCCGTAGAAAACGTACCTTCACATAATCGTCGATGACAGAAAAATACTCCTCAAGTGGTAAACTTGAGCTGTAACTGCACTTGAGTGGGTCGTCATTCGAGGAACGCTTATAATACTGATGCAATCGCCTCATGAGCTCCAGTAGAGGAATCCAGAGAACAGCAAAGTTGTCACTCTGTATTCTGTATTTTTCTGTTGAAAAATAAAAAAACAGCGTGAGAAAATACAGAATCGCAAGAAAATAAAATTAACGCTGAATTTTTATCGGAAGCGCTTAGAAATGAAATGAAACGTACAATAGGAAGTTTCTGTTTTTTTCAGCCTCTCGTGTATTGTATATGTACACCGTGAAATTGTGAAATTTCGCAATAACCATCCCCATATCGTGCCGCGCTGTACGCAACGACACAAAACATGTTTACAGTCCCTATGCGCATTCGGAAATTTTGAAATCTGAGCGCCTGGAAAGACCCCCTGTGCACCTTGAAGTGTCGAGTATATCTAAAAAGGTTATAACCTGTCGTCGCAGTGCTCAAGCAGGTTTCATTGGACCTTTTGCATATGTCGCATGCTAACTTAATCTATGCTTACACAGAAGATTCTGTCTCGGCAAGTTCGATGGGCTCCTTTGTGGTACCATCTCGATATATCATCTTCAAGTTCAAGGTCTGACACATCACGACATCTACAAATTACGAGCTCGCCACTCTTCAAGCCGCAATAGAATTCGTTATAGATACGAGAATTCCCTTGTATGTGGGCCATATTCTGCCACTCTTAAGGCAGTTCATGAAAGCTTGCGAAGTCTATAACAGTGAAACTACCATAAGCTTGTCCCTCATATAAATGAAATTTATCCAGAACAGGACGTAGCCTTACAAGAGCGGCCGGGACAGGATAAATGGTAACCACCTCGCCGACAACACTGCCCGATTTGCTCACGGTGAAGCACCCACACTGCTCATACATTTGCCAAGAGTAGGCACTGCAAAAGAAGTTCACCACGCCGCGCATAATGCCACGCTATAACGCAATAACATTCTGCGCTAGACTCCGATCGCCGCCCAAAAAACCTTGATACACTGCTACAGATACAACTGCCATCCAAGATTTCTCAATGGGACTCTACAGTGCTATGTAGACTGTGAGTGTCGCAATGTGGAGAGAGCAGGACACAACACCCCGTTGCGACAAGGAAAGACAAGGTCTGTATCGACAGATTAAAAGAGCACACGCTAGAACGTCCTCTTCTTCGGAGGAACAGTGTTGCGCATGCACCTCACTTTGTTGCCCTCTGTCAGCCTGCCAGCTTTTAGTCATGACAACCATCTCCCTTCCAAGAAAAGCATCGTCCCGATGCTTCGTAATCACAGGGGTTTGTACAGACCATAGCAGCGCAAAAATTTATTCGAACAAATAGTATTTCATGCGAAATACGTGCGCGAGCTCTGGTGCATTAATTTGACGCCTTAACCAATGTGCGCTATCGGGAACAACCTCATGGTTTACGGCAGTGAGACGTCAGAGAACTTTACATGACCCGAACTACCGCTTTAACACCTTTTATGAAAGGTGATGGCGGCCAATGGGAGTACGAACAAAAGCTTTCTCTTCAGAATTGAAGGAGACTGGTCAGTAAAAAAGATTATACTAGCACTTCGAATCGTCGTCCTGCTAGCGACGAATACGTATGCGCGCAAGTTGTTGGGCTTCTTCGGCAAGCTGTGTGATGTAATACCCCCTTTATTGGTGGTGCCTTTGCACTGATGTGGTAGCATCGCATCTATAGCATAGTTGTGATTTCGCGACCATGAAGAAGGAGAGATAGTGTCACTCGTGTAGTTTCTTGGTGAGCCATGTTTCATGCGATCTTGATATACGGCAAGATTTCGTCCCAGTTTTTTATACTCCACATTGACGTACTGTACGTGCAAAGCATATCCACAAGTGTCTTGTTTAGGTGCTCCGTCAGGCCATTCGTTTGCGGATGATAAGCCATTGTTCGCCGGTGAGATACGCCACTGAGTCTTAAAGCTGCCTGTAATTCCTCGGCTGTTAATACAGTTCCTCTGTCACTTATTACCACTCACGTAGCCCCATGCATCAGCATCACAGTCTGGACGAAAAATTGGACTGCTTCTGTTGCTGCGCCTCTCTCCACAGCCGCAGCCTTTGTTTCGGCGTAGCGAGTGAGGTATTCTGCTTATTCTAATCCATCGGCGGCCCACCAACGAAGATGGAAGTGGGCCTAGGAGATCTATTCGGACTTCAATGGAGTACCAGGTACGTCAATAGCAAGGAGGGGGCATTTACACATTAATTAAGCTATCGCATCGCTATGGCAGATTCATCCATGTGCGAATAACTGCGACTGCGTAGGAACTATTGATCATCTGTCGTGCAACTGTCTCCGATTTGAACAAGATCGTCTGGCACTCCAATGTGCCTTGAGGAAACTTGGTGATCGACCCTTGACTGCAGCAAACATCTTGAGAGCCTAGTATCGCAGCACATCAGCCCAGAAAGCCACACGAGCCCTCTTGCAGTACTTGAACGCAAGAGCATTGAGCGAGCACCAAAACCCTACACTGCGCGTGTGTGTTGTGAAATGTCTCTCTCTCTCTCTTTCTATTTTACTCCCGTATTTTATTCACGCATTACCCCCATGTGTAGGGTAGCTAACTGGATTTAGTATAGTTAACCTCCTACCGTTCCTATATTCCTTCTCTCTCTCTGAAACTGAAAATTCCTGTGACAATTGAATAAACATTGCGACAATCATTATTCATTATTTCGGCAACACGGAAAAAGAAAGACCACACCTGTGCTACGTGGTTGAAGCAGGGAACTCAATTCCTCGTAAAGATGAATCTATAAATCTGCGAACGTACAACATCTCCGCCACCGCTCATGCTATCTTGGCCACAGCAAGCTTACACATGCTATAAGTACGGACTCTTCCGCCATATGTCCCTACCTCTACGTTTTAAAAACTGCTCTTTCATAAAGAATGTCATACGCTTTGAAAATATGCATGACGCGTCTTCTTTTTCTTGTTATTGTTGTTGTGAGGTTATGAAGAAGTGCAGTGACAGCAGTGGCATAGCTGGAAATGTTTTGCAAAATTTTTTTTCTAACTATCCTTCATGCATGCTCGTACGTGCGTTTGAACGCTTGCGTGTATGTAAAATTCTCGGGAAACATTCCCTCTCCCCGAAATTTTGAAAAACAGGAGAATCTCTCCCCTGGCTTCATCACAACTTCAAAGCACAGCGGTCACATTATGTCAAAATATTTAAACACCGTATCCACGCAAGGTATGTTGGAATATAAAGTTCACCCGAGTAAAGTTTTTTTTTCTTGGTATAAACGACTTTATATTCTTTCAAATCGCCTTAAGCAAATCACATACTTTCGACCAAAGAAGATTTTCTCGTTGCTTCGCTGCCACTGGGATGCGCCACTCACCAGCGACGAGCTGGCAGGTCAGCTTTAGGCCGTCCGACAAGCCAAAGATGCCGCCCGGGTCCAAGGACTTCGAGCGGTCACCTCACCTTAGGTACCGCAATCATCATCGACGGAGGGTGGGAAGAGACAGTAGTTAATCCCCTCTTCCCCCACCTCACCTCAAGGAAACTGCCGGATTTAAAATAAAGTCTATTTATTCATTCGTTGTTTTTTTTTTCCACTCGCCTCTTTATCTTCTTGCGCATCCTTACTATGGCCATCCCTTGCGCTTGCGTGCTACTGACTGCGCATTCCCTATACTTTTTAGCTCGAGCTCATTTACACACAATGGGAGACAAGCGCTGGTTAGGTGGCGCGCCGAAAAAAAAAAGGACCTGGCGGAGAGTCGGGACACAACTCAGCCGCTCGCGCCCAGACAACCGGCCGCAGTACGCGGTGAGAGCACGTGCGTGCGCCGTTTCCCCGTGACTCATTTTGGTACCAACAGCAGCAATTGCGCCAGTAATACAGCACCGTAGTTTATAAAGACAAAAAAAAGTCACAGCTTTGCCGCAAAAGCAAAGCAATGAACGCGATAGCAACCAATTGGAAGATCACATGCAGAATGTCAAGCAGATCGAAACGTGCCCCGCGTTTCTCACGCACAAATGACGTACGAAACGTACTCACAGGTACAAATTAACGCGAATAAGCGTCTCAGTTGTTACTTCGCTGTGCCCGAAAAGCGCACCCTTTTTGCAAACGGAGGCTGTGCAACGATTGCAGTGGCCCGCCAGGTAATGACAACAGAATCGTTCCGGAGAAACCCAAAGGCTAGCCAAGACGTACGATTCTCCCCACTGCAAGGGCGCTTGATCAAGCGTACACCCCATTATTCTCTACGCGGGCCAAACTACGCGTGAGAGATGAGAGCCGCCGCGCGCTCACTGCGCCATCTTGCTGATAATGCTGAAAAACCGATAGTTTCCCCCTCCCCCGAAATGCCCGCTAACAGCGGTAAGTAGTAGATGTGAATAGCTTGCCGTTTGAACGTTGAAGGAGGTGACTCTCGGTGGCGCAGTGGTTAACGCTTCGCATTCATGACGCGCAGGTCCCGCATTACATTCCGAGCTACGGAGTCTTCCTCTGTGGTTTTTTTTCTTGTGTTTTCATGTATATAGATACGTATACATATACGGTGCATGGCATCAACGCCCACGCCGGCGGCAAAATCCAACCGAAAGTGTCCATATAATTGCTATCGCCATAAAAAAAACTTAGTCTGAAGGCTACTCTCACACAAAAGGACATAGGGAAACGGAGAAAAGCTCTGCAATGCAGACTGTGCCTATGCATATGGCATCGAAGGAACAGTGCTGTGCCGTGATGGCGACTCCCTCCTCCTCATTTTTTTGTTGCGTGCTAGGTTTTGTGTTAAGCTAGTGCAGGCTGACAAGCTCCCATTGAAGAACCCGCGCTGCGACGATGCCACGCTGCCCACTTATGTAGTAAAACGAAAAAAAGACAAAAAAAGAACGAATAAAGGTTTAGCTGCGTCAATTTTTTTTCTGGCGTCGAATGTACAGGTGCGATCAAAAGTGTGCAGACCACGGGATCGCGTGGCAGAATGCATCGACGCGCCAGCTAGCGACGAGACACGACGAGACACCTGCTGCAGCGCGCATGCGCGTCCATTCTTATCACTTGGCTTCTCATGTCGCTCTGTCGGACACGGTTACGGCGCTCGTACCCAAAAGTACAACTGAGTGTCGCTTTCTTTGCTCCATGTATTCTGTGCCGTTCTATTACGTAGCGGCTACGACGGGGCTGGTTCAATTGCCGGCTCGCGTTGTTATTGACACCGGTTGATTATGATCAGTAAGCATAGCGAGCATCGCACAACCTGATGAAGCCAAACGCACAAAATTTAATTTTTTCAGGCCAGCTTGCCTTTGGCGGGTTAAACCAAGTTGCATTTAAATAAGCTTAGTTAAGTCAAGGTTAATGTAGCCGAAATTAATAAATGTAGTCGAGCACTTTATGAACTAAATGAGGCAAGCGTAAGTAGGTTTAGTTTAGACCTGTTGACTTTGGTGTTTTCATGTTAAGCGAAGTTAGGCTTAGATGAGCACAGATGTTTTGAAGTAAGCATAGCCAAGCTTAATTAGGCAAATTTGACTATGCTCATCTTTAACCTAGCCGTGGAAAATTAGCCTATACAAGGCGAACCGTACCACGGCCAATTAATCTATGTCGACTTCCTTATGAGCGCACAGAAGTCAAGGCCAGGAAGATACTGATTACTATTTACCGACTCCATACGAATTAAGATGATTTATGTCAAATTAGCGCTACCTATTATGAATACTAATTATGACTGGATATTAGTCTTAAATTCAACTAAAGTACTCTCTGTGCTGGAATTTCATGTGACATAATTAGGCTAAATATACATAAGTAAGCTAATTAGGCAAACACCAAGGTAACTATAAAAAATCGATTTAGCTTAGTTGGCCCTAGAATCATCAAACCAATTGGATGATAATAAGCTTTAAATGAAAAACATATCAAAACTAATAATTAACCTAATTGCAGTCGAATTCTCATGAGCTCCGAGAATCCTAGCTCAGCAAGATGCTGATTATTCCTGACTGAGTCGAGTCTCATTTACCTAAATATAGATCCAATTACCCTTAACATTATTTATGACTATTGCTGAATAATGTGCGTGACATCGGAGCACAACCGAAGTACTCGAGTTCGATGTCGGAGAATTATGCAAATCACGCCTCGATCCGCCTAATATAGACATCTGTTGCTGCATAGGATGTTTTTGAGGGTAAAGGTATTCAATTTCGTGTATATATTCACGTTTGATTAACTTCGGCTACATTAACTTTACTTAACTAAGCTCATTTAAGTGCAATTGAATTACCCTGACAAAAGCAAGCTGGCCTGAGAAAATTTAATTTTGTGCGTTTGGCTGTGTCGGGTTGTCTGATGCTCGTTAAGCTTATTTATCCTGATCAGCCGGTGTCAATAACAACACGAGCCGGCGTTCGAACCGGCCCCGTTGCAACCGCTACGCAAAAGAATGGCACAGATTCGATGGAGCAAAGGAAGCGACACCCAGTTGTCGTTTTGTCTACGAACGCCGTAACCGCGTCGAACAGAGCGACGTGAGAAGCCAAGTGATAAGACGGGACGCGCATGCGCCCTGCAACAGGTTTCTCGTCGTGTCTCGTCGCTAGCTGGCGCGTCGATGCATTCTGCCACGCGATCCCGTGGTCTGCACACTTTTGATCGCACCTGTACGTCCTGTCCGCGGTATGTATGCACGTGGACGTTGATCAAGCAAACCACCACGGCAGCATAGCACGTGCGGTGTCGCACTGCTATGCTTGGGAGCGCGGAATATACTCCCGACCATGGCGGCCACTAAGAACACCCTTGAACCAAGATATATGTGTCCATTGAAAAACCCCAAGCGGACACAATTAATCTTGACACCCACATTATAGCGTGTCTGATAGTAATATCTAATTGTTCGGCACACGAAAGTCTAGCAATTCTCCATGTTGAACAGACACCTTTATTTTAAGCCGACAAAGGCAAGTGAAAAAAAACTAAAACTGTGCGTTAAACGAACTAAGTGACACGTGAAAATCGAAGGGAGTTTTTATATTTCTCTAGCAAAGCCCAAATTCACTTGCTACTTAGCCACGGCAGTCAGTGAAAAAGAAGAAAACTTGATTGATCTCTTTTTTTTTAGGAATTGGTTTAACAGGAAAGTGAAACGTGTTCTCACTGTTTCGCACTCATTGTGCATTGTTTCGCCGCAAAAGCACAAGAATGAATGCTGCAGTGGCAAATCGCAATGTCACACTAAGAACGGCAAGCAGGTGAAACTCGCAGCGCACACCTCAAGCAGAGAGCACGGACGAAATGAGCATTCACACGAGCACGGACAAGCAACTGTCACAATAATTACTTCGTGTGAGAGCAGCGCGTTCTTTTTGTATACACGGCAGCGAGCGAACTGCCGTTCGTGCTCTCTCGAACTGCTGTAACTTCCGAGAAAACTTGCGGTGCAAGCACAAGAAGTACAGAGCGCCCGAATCCCGAGATAAGTGAGCCACTACGCTAGATAACATATATGCGCACTTTGACCACGCCATGTGGAGGCGCGTGCGCACAGAGACGCGTGAGGTGGCTGCAGGTGCGACGTCCTCTAGAGCACACGCGCTCAACGCGCGCCCGCCGTGCCATCTCGCTACTGATTACGAAAACGCGCTGAAGTTTCTGACATCTGAGGACCGCTAGGGGGTACACAGTGTATATAAATGGCCCGCCGTTAACCTGATCGAGAAGGGTCGCTCTGTAGCGTAGTGCTTATCATCGAAGACTAATAAGCGCGAAGTCAACGGTTCGACGCCCCTCTGCGGAACTATTCTTGTTAGTTTTGTTAACTTTGCAATCTGTACGTAAACATTTCACAACGCGTCATATCCGTGACGGAAATACGTCACGGAGCCGTGTTGGGCCCCAGATAAAACACTCTCATGTTTAAAAAAAGTTTGCGGCATCAGCTGACTTCAGAAAGCTGAGCTTCGAGTAGTCAGCTGCTTCATTCGTAATAAGAACACTGTCTTTAGCACAAATTAAGTTGAACACAGTCATATCAGTATCGTGTATTCATCGCGAGTGTATCTTTTACAACAGTACAGGCCGACATGCCCCCGAAAACTTGTGGACAAAAAGCTTTCCTTCTCAGTAACTGTTAGCAAATAATGTAGACTACATGAAAATCATATTAACTTCACGCGGGGGCATCAGATGGAGTGTGGTGGTCGTGGTCAGATAAAAACATTGTTACGTATGTCATATCCTACATAATACGCGAGTTTTATTTTCGGCAAAACACCATGCAGTTGAATTCGGCTGTTTAGTTCTCGTTTCCACTGGTGGTCATCCTCACTTTCGAATAAATTAAGTTGACATGCGCAATTGGCTTTAGAAACCAGACCGACACCACTATATATACAGGAGAGCGCGAGCACGACATACATAGCGCATCTGACCGCTTGGATGCAACGCCGCCTCCTTTCTTATTGAAATGATTGAGAAGGAAAAACGTACGGCGATACATCTCCTTCCCACCCCCTCATTTCTACATATTGTCGCACATGACTACGCAGCAGAAGCACTAGCGCGCTTTGTTTTTGTTGCCTCTACCACCACCGCACTCATCTGCGGCCTGCCTATACCAACCGCCGGACTCATCTGCGGGAGTGACTGTGAAGTGCGCGCCTTGACCGCCAGGACATCGTGCAAACTGCAGCGCTGTTTTTCTATACGGAAGCTGACTTTTCAGCCAATACACTGCGAAAATTCTCTGTGAGCTGTGATAAATGAAAGTTGATCACATAAAAAATATAAAAGGTCAGAAGAATTCGCATCCCTTAAATTTACGCTTTATTTTATGAAGTCACACTTTTCGTAACATCTTGAAAAATATAACACATTCAAGTCTTGCAACGCAGAAAAATTACTTTCCTGGTCTTTGTTTTGTTTCACTTTTCACTATTGAGAGGGAGAATGGGGTGGGGGTGAATACCACGGTTTGCCATGCGGTCACGAGAACAAGCTCCTTTTGGGTGTGCACACAAAAGGAGTTTGTCCTTATCTGCGCTTATTTATTTTCAATTGTTCACCCGATAGTTGCAACATAGTAAAACCGATACATTTGCTTAATGTTCGTAAAGGGGCACTGAAGGCAAATATCAAGTTGATGTTCATTGCTGAAATAGTGGTCCAGAAACCTCGTAGTGCAAAGAAAGTGCTTATTTTGAAATAATATGATGTTTTAGTGGTACGCATCGCGTTAGCACATTTAAAATTAGCCACCTCAAAGTGGAAACTTTCACGTCCCTGTTGCCGTGCACAACGTTGTCCGGCTTTACTGCGCGGCCGCTGACAGTATTAGCAGCGGAGCGACAGTAGCGAGAGCCAGAGCAGCAACAACGGCCATTGAACAATTTCCTCCATGGCATGGTCTCCTATGGAAGACGGGCTTGATTCAACTAAGCCCCGCTACATGGCACGACCTGTCCAGGCAGATTTGATGATTGATAAGTGTGGTTTAATGTCCCAAAATCACTATAGGATTATGAGATACGCCGTATTGGAGGGCTCCGGAAATTTTCGTCACCTGCAGTTTTAACGTGCACCCAAATCTGAGCACACGGGCCTACAGCATTTTTGCGGTTTAACCAGGCTAAAATTGAACTTTCAACCATCCGTGCCATTCCCCATAAAAAGGTCCGGTGTTTTTTTTTTTTTCGTGAATCAAACAGAAACGATCAAATAGCATTTTATTACGTCCCTTGATGCATGGAAGGTTATTTATTTAGTGCAGCTAGTTCGATTACTAGTGGTTAATTGTAGGTGGTAACTCTGACGTCATCGGGATAATTTTGCGAATGTCTTACTCGTGGCGCATAGGTTCTCATGCATTTACCTTAATTTCTCAGTAAGGAGGGCATTGCTGTTGATAATATTCTCGTTTAGACGTTGTCATACATTGAGCTGTCATTGTGACATAAATTGTTATTTGCCTTTAGCGTCAACCCTGGTGCATTCTTGGTGCATTCTTGCAATCAATCACTCGCTCAAAACGGTGGCAACTATCTCAGCAACGACGAATACGCAAAAGGACCACTTACGAGAGGATTTAGACACCAAGATGCTCGCTTGAGGGCCATGAAGGAACTGTATGCCAATAGTCTGTGACGTAATGTCGCAGGTGAAATCTGCAATTGGGATCCCATCAGAAGGTGACGTTAACCGTGCACTAGTGGAGCTTCAAACAACACCACAATGAAAAAAAGCACTAACCAGGAAAGAGCTCGTTAGAAGGAACAGAAGGTTTATTCGTTTCAATTGTCAACTTGTGCTCGTACGTCCTTTCGGGCACGCACGGACGTGCGATGAGCGCGAGGGGCAAATGCATGGACGCCTGCACCAGCTGCGACGCCCCTGAATCGAAATAGAGTACAAGAAACAGGTAAAACTTTACACCAAGGAAGGCTGCGATGTCAATAGAGAACCGGCTAATAAGGCTAAAAGGAAGTAAGTGCTCAGCACCGAGTCACTGAGTAATTATCTGCCATCAAAGAGTTTGATTGAAATTATTGACAGATTATTTTGTCTGCTTTGTGTACGACACTAATTATTCACTGCTACAAACGGCCTATAAATTTTTGTTACCACTTTGGCAGAGCACGGCAAAAGCGTTATTCACAGAGGGTTAAATAGGTGTGCAGCGGGAATGGGATCCCTACATAGGATCAGACGTCTGATGGCGCTGCATGCAAGATTTAATAATGCATACCTTAGTTGCATACGCGGTGTGAGGGAGACACTCCTCAGCTGGTCATGCCCGAAATATTTGAAGAATGCGGATAGCGCTTATTCGGCTTTCAGACGTTCAGTGCGTGTGTACAACGGTAGAAATTAACATTCGCCTAAAAACAACCCGTGTATGTCTAAGTTGCACCCAGGTGGTCTGCACGCAGTTGCATGCAGCCCATAAAATAGCGTGGCGACGGTTTTTGCTCACTCTAAAAATAAGCAGCGTGTTTTCTCGCGCTTTCTTCTGTCGAGTGCTCTTGGAAATGCGTAGAGCTGATGTTGCAATGAGCGTTGCCTTGTCGTTGTGAAGCACGAATTTCACCAGCACAGGCAGGCGTTGATCGCTGCCCAGCTGCAAGCGACGAATTTCACTGTCGGAGGCATCTGGCATGCTTTTCGCCCACATAAAAGCAAGCTGATGATATTTCACCATGCATGGTTATTGGTAACCACAAACGCACAAATATTCGTCCTGTGTCGCAACTACTTCCTTCTGGTGGTTAAACAAATTTCGTCATATTCTAAGTTGCAGGATCTCAGTTTTAAGATTTGAGACATCGGAAATATGGGAAACTTAGAGACTTTCTTTAGTATTTGGTGTCGTTATAGCTACATTGCCACGCAGCATTGCGTAATTTTCATGCTGTGTCGCACGTTCTTCAAGCGGCCCTTGAAGTGGGCTAAAGTTGCAAAAGGATTGATTGATTGATATGTGGGGTTTAACGTCCCAAAACCACCATATGATTATGAAAAGTTGCAAAAGGAGGCAATATATTCGTGACCGAATACGCGATACATACCAAACGAATTCTGGTAGAAAGCCGCCACTCTAAGGTCCAGGGAGCTCGGTAACATTGTCTCAGCCTGCTTCACTGTAAATGCCATTTGGTGGTGGTCCAGTAAAGTGGTGAGTGTGACGTCACTGTTCATAGCAACCAATGGTCTAGCAACATCCACCATGATGCGAACATCGCGCAGCGGTGCGGAGGCCTCGAGGTGGACCTGCGGGGGTAACCGTACAACGAAAGCATGCGGGGTTAAAATGCACATATTGTTGCCGACACGTCTTGAAAGGTTCTTGTTTCCTTATGCTGTACAGCGTAAAACTTTTCGTTTTAGCATATGGAATAAAATAAAAGAGCCAATAACTATGCGCCTCAAGTTCTAGCCGCAAGCAGTTTCTAAAACCTCTTTTAAAGGCTGCAGCCCGCAAATGCTGCTCTGGTCACCGAACTGCTTGGCATTTCCTGATGTTGCAAAAACAAAGTGGATTCATCTTCGAGAACAGTTGTAAGCATGAGCTCTTGATGCACGGTACAGTGTTTCACCAAGAACAGATTTTTAAAATTATTGACACATCCTATGTCACAGCGGTGCCATGAGGCGCCCCGATTTTGACAACGTGCGGAACGTAGTGGCTCTCAATACAACTCAACACAATATATATATATATATATATATATATTATATATATATATATATATATATATATATATATTTCATCAACTTTTCTTCTTATTTACATTCCATTGGTTCTAATAAGTTCCCCTGTACATTCCTTGGCAATACTGTCTGTTAGATCTCATTAATATTGTGTTAAAACACGGAAAAACGAGCCCTTAGGTATACACTTCTTTCCCTTATATACATACATATATATATATATAATATATATATATATATATATATATATATATATATATATATATATATATATATATATATATATATATATATATATATATATATATATATAATATATATATATATATATATGCGTGTCTGTGCACGTGTGTGTTTGAGAGAACACGCCCTCTGATTGCAAGCGAGAATTCCACTGTCATTTCAAAGAAAGCAGCCGCGAAAGCGCGTGCATAGATAGCCTCGCTTACGTGCCTTCGACAATGTTTTGCATGCGACAACCTCAGTCGCTGCCCTAAGGGCGCGCACCGTGCGGGAAAGTTTGCGCAGCGCGCGTTTTTGCTTCGCTTTCCTTTTCTTTTTCTTTTTTTCACTTGCGACGGCCAATTCGCAGTAAAAGGCGGTTCTCGGCACGGGCTCGAAAGAGCAGCGAACCTGGCTTCGCAGCGGAGAAACTGCGCCAGAAGGTTGCAGTACAAGGCGGCCGGCCCTTTGCGCTGAGCACTGCAGGCGTCGATGGCTCGCGGAGACAAAAAATAAATAGCGTGTGTGTGTGTGGGGGGGGGGGGGGGGGGATGGTTGAGAGGATTTGACGTCGCGCTAGCTCAAGAGCCGATGAAGTGTATACAGCGCGAAAAGCTTAGTATTTAGAGCGGAATAAATTTATAGTGCGGTACTTTATAAGAGCAACTGGAACGCCAATTTCAGCCATCCAGATGCAGTCTGACAGCGCTTATTCTAAGCCCGTTCCGCTTTTTATTTGCTACCTACAGCTTCGATTGCCCCGAAAGCTTTTGCCGAGGTGAGCTCTTGAAAACCGGAGAGGTGAAATCCGGAGATGCAGTTCGGCGTTGCACGTCGTTTTGCTACAACACGCAGACACTTTCGCACGCACGAGCCAATAGAGCTGAGGAAGATGCGGGCGTGCAAGAGAGCCGTAATTTCAAGGAACTACGGCCTAAGAAAGAAAAGGTGCTTTTATCATGCCTGGATCAGTACCCCTTGTGCAATAAAGAAAAACGTTTCAAAACCTGCGCACACTTCGTTCTGGGCGTACTATAAATGTAAATGAGCTGTGTATATATCACGCGCACGAAAAGCGCTTTTCGCAAGAAATTCGCTTGTCTTAAAAGCTGGATCATGGAGTGGGCGTGAGTTTTTGTGCTGTTTTGTTTTCTTTAGAGGTTGTTTTTTTTTCTTTTTGTTTTACAATTTGTCGCATTGCTCTATGCAAAAAGAAAGGCGAACAAAAACTCAGCATATTTAAAAGAAGCTCTGCCCAGTGCCTAGCTTGAGCAGGGAGATTATACTAGGATCATTGTTTCTCAAAAGGTGCACAAAAGTATGGGATATAGTACAAAAGCGTCACTTGCCTTCACTATAATCGATGGGATAAAAGTTCTATCATCTTCTGTTGACGCAGGGTTCTCGTCAGATTGCTTGAGGATTGAGGAGAAAAGACGTTGTAATCATCAATATGCTTCCGGCTCATGTCTCGGTTCTTTGAAATTGAAGGAGATCTAAACTATACGATGAGAAAACTAAAAGTGAGCACTTACGTAAGGGATCTCAGACATGGGTCCAGCGAAAACCTTCATCTTCAAATCAGTCTCCGTCTTTTTTCGCCCAAGGAGAGCTGGTAGAAAAAAAATTGAAAGTACTATCTTATTTCTGGTTAAAATTATCCGTATCACACAGCCTATCGTCGTTCAATACCCCTCCCCCCCCCCCCCCTCAATATTCGTGCACACGAAGACGGCCGGTGCGTTTCCTCTCCGTTTTGGTCCCTATCGTCAAATGCCCTCGTACTGACATACAGAACAAAGTGCGGGCCAATGTTATCGCTTTTCTTTACGCGGTACTTCGCAGTGACCACCGACGGCGATGGCTGCGGCAAAAAAGAACCTGGCGTGTTAAATTATAAAGGAGGAGGAGGAATAAACTTCATTATAAGAAACCAGCAGGTTTAGGTGGCCGGGCCTAGGCCTCCCATGAGGGGACGTCAGGGGCTTGCCTCGACGCTGCCTCACGGGCCTGCTGGGTCGCCCAGGTTTGGTCGTAAAGAGCGGGGCTCCGCAGAGTCTCATCAAGCTTCGACGACAGGGTCAATAAAGGAATTCACTGAATGATGACGAGTTGGTAAAGCTGTGGGTATCGTATTATATTTAAATTTCGCCTTCCAGTCTTTAAGGCAAATCAAAGGAGGATTCAGAAATTGCTGGAGTAGAGAATATGCCTCGAAAGGGAATCCCAGAACCAACCTATTTTACCAGCGGCAAGATACCATTTCAATACGGGTAATATGATGGGACATACAGTTCTCGATATGTGTCTTCGTGTTACAAGTTTTCTTGAGAAGCTTCAACACACACACACCTTTGAGGCACATTTTGGTACAGGTAAACTCCGTCATCTTTTTCTCGATAGGTTATTTTCACCTGGAAGAGTGATTTCTCCCCTTATCCGATATTGCCTGCGCTGAAGTCTATTGTAAAACTTTTTTGTGTGTGTGTGTGTATCTCACATGTTTCGACTATATAGCAACGATTCTATACCATGAACACAATGAAAGATAAGGGTGTAAGTCCTAAGTAGCTTCGCCCCTAAAAAATGCGAAAAGAGAACCAATACTATTGCGAAAGAAGGAAACAGCGTTTGACAATTTCATTACCACGCCTATTCAAATCAATCACCGGCGATCGATGCTTTTGCATCATCGGTTTTCGCTTGTTAAATTTGTTTCTTGTGCAACCAGCACCTTACGGTAGTTAGTCCAACTGTGCCCTCAACTTTTAGAATCAATTTGAATTTGCCCGTTTTGGCAACATAGTGATTTTTGACAGATGTGCGTGCATTGTTGGAAAAGTGCACTAGACTGGCGATCTTGACAAAAGTGCGTGCCCCTCGGGGTCATGCTGCAATAATATGTCGAAGTCATGAAAGTAAAGGAGCCTTTGAAAGCCAAATATCGAAATAAAGCGTCAGCTTCGCAATTTGACAGTGTTGAGCAGTAATAACTGCCAAACACTTATCCCAGCTCTTCAATAGAAAGCTGTTCCAAGGAGTCATGAAAAACTTGTTCTACAAAAATATTTACAAAGGTCCACACCGTGTTTAAAGTGCCGAGGTGACCTTCTCTGACATTTTCCAGCAGTTTTGGTCTTGCTTGCATCGTTACATCCGACGCAGGGTAGCATCTAGTGTCACTAGTCGCTCCTATGACGCCGTCGTCACGTTTGTGCGTGGGTGCGCACCAGCACTGCAAAACACATGCGCTGCTCGAAACTGTCTTGAAACCCCACCTGGAATGAGTGACGAGCTTATAGTTCGAGGATGATAGCACCTCGGCTTGAAGATTTATGGCAACGACGTTATGCGCCAGCTTGAGAGATCCGCAGCAGTTCATGGGCTTGCTTTATTCACATCCTCAAGTTGCCTCCTCCACCGCAAGTGCGTATAGCTTCTGACCTCTGTGCACAATCGTATAGCTACTCTGGTAACGTACATACGTGGTCCGCACTTCGCTGGGGTGCGGTGTGCTGGCGCTGGCTGCAGAGCTTTTCTTAACGACAAGGAGGCCCCCAAAGCACATCTTGGCCCTGACTACGGAGCAGTGCGACACGTTTTAGAAGAGTGCACAATGTTGTCCTTTTTTTAATAAGATATGCTCGAAAATGCAAAGAAGTATGCTTGGATGCACATATTGAAACGCCAACCTATGCGGAGTGAAGGGGCTGATGGAAAGAGGTGACGGTAGGCGAAATAGCGAACTTCATTGGACATCTAGTTTATAGCGAGATTATTCACATCACGAGTATACATCTATATCAGAACACCTGGAGACAAACATTTACTGAGAAACGTGTACGAGTACACTTGTGTCTCACGAAAAACCAAGCAATGCTTCCCCGCACGGCACGAGCAACGAAGCAGCACCTTGGTTCCAATTTTCTTTGTCTATGTGAAGAGAAACATCTTGTACAACATTCATTATTTTTTATACTGTTTCTGGGTCATTTTACCTACAAAATATATATTCTGACTTTTCTCTGTTTTAAATATTTTTGCACACATAGTGTTTTTATTGCCCTGTTTACCAGCTGGCAACCGAAAATTCTACACTTTTCACAATATTGTTAATTTTAAATGATTTTTGGTGTTCTACAACAATATGTGTTTTTAAAAGAGCAATTCAATGTGCAAAGTATCGTATGCTTTAACGTGTGCTGGAGTACTTTTCATACTAACAACAACGACCTTCCCTAGTCATATGAAGAGCAATCATTTTCGCGCGGTAACGAAAGAGTTAATGGATCGAAGATACAGGAATAGACAATAGATGCACACGTATTTCCACATTTTGCGTCAGTGACCCGGCGTACACGCGCATCGATGTAAAATCAGACTATGTTTGATTGATTGATTGATTGATTGATTGATTGATTGATTGATTTGTGGGGTTTAACGTCCCAAAACCACCATATGATTATGAGAGACGCCGCAATGGAGGGCTCCAGACTATGTTTATTGTGCTCTTTTTCACCAGCCGATAAGCCCGCTCGAATTCCAACTTGCGCAACAATCACTGAATCGGGACGTTTCTCAGACAAACAAGCGTACGCACGTGCGGTAGGAGATATGAAGATAACACGCCGACACAACGACCGCAGTTCCCTTTTTTTGTCGTTTTGCCACTGATGTACGGCTGCGACACTGGCAAATAGAGACGGTAAATTCTCTGTCTATTCGTAAAACGTTATCAGAATTTACTCCTTTGCAACGTTTCTTACTCCGCGTGCAATATACGGCCTACGCAGAGCAGATGACGTGTCCTCTGCGATGAACCTATTTCGATAAAGGAATGCAAATGAAGTCAATAACCATGACTGTTTTGGAACAAGGAAAGGCAGAAAAAAAGAAAGAGAGAGAGAAAGAAAGAAAGAAAGAAGGAAAGAAAGAAAAAAGAAAGAAAGAAAGAAAGAAAGAAGGAAAGAAGGAAAGAAAGAAAGAAGGAAAGAAAGAAAGAAAGAAACAAAGAAAGAAAGAAACAAAGAAAGAAAGAAAGAAAGAAAGAAAGAAAGAAAGAAAGAAAGAAAGAAAGAAAGAAAGAAAGAAAGAAAGAAAGAAAGAAAGAAAGAAAGAAAGAAAGAAAGAAAGAAAGAAAAGAAAGAAAGAAAGAAAGAAATGAGCGAGTGCACTTATTAGGCAATGTCAACGCTGTGACATTTTGCGAGCAGCACTGTCATTGGCGAAAAAAGATGGTGAATATACCGAAAGCGTCATTGATTCTAAGAGCTTCGCTTGCAAAAGCTGTCGCCCGCGTCTCCGTGCACCGACCTCTGTCCTCCCACGTTGTGCTGTTTTTGAGCCGCAGCAGCCGCGTAGACGTATTCGAGCAGCAAACGTGGGTGTCACACCAATGCATGAACACCAAATATAAGAGTTGCAGTGTACATCTGCACAAAGCGAAGCCCGACCACGAGTAGTCAGACCAATGCGAACAGCGCATTTACCTCTTCCACACGAACAAAAAAAAGAACTTTTTTTGTAAGATGTCATACACGAGGAGCCATTATCCTTAACGCAAAACATCGTGAGGATGAACTATCTCCCGACACGGTTGGTTGTTCCAGAGAGGCAGGAAAAAAAAACGTAACAACTATACCGATGCCGGGAAGCTTTCTATTCGCTGACAGGTCAGAATTTATAAGTATACCTTAATATGCAGGGGTCATACATTCCCGCAATGGCACAACAACAGTGCTAAAAAGCAAACTAGACATCGTACGGCCCAACCTTCGGAATATCGTTGCACTAAATAACTAAATATTTGTGCTCCATATCTGTAAGAAATAAAGCTTTCACAGAACACCGCAATGTCACTTTCTATATTTTTGAGTGCAGTGGTTAGTGTTATTGCGTATGCACAGTCTGATGCATGCGTTATACATCAGTGTACACGGACATGTGCTGGCGAACGCTGAATGCTAAACAGCCGGTCAATGATGAAGACCTCTTACAAACGAAAATCTTCGTTATGAGATTTCCAATTTATTTTACTTATTTTAGCCATATAGTTTAGGTCAAAAGAACCAGGAGGGGTGGGGTTACGTCATTTCAATAACTTATATCGTATTAGCCAATGCAATTTTTCGAAAGAAATATATACACAAAGAATAGGTATACGCCCCATTCTTGAGCACACGTACGTCAGCTAGAGCTGAACGAAACTGCTAATAATCAGGGATGTAGAATGAAGTTGAGATTGAGAAACTGCTGATTGAGTAGGCTTGTCGTTCGCAGCTGCAATGAATGGTCATGGCGCTCGTTCTTATGAAATATTCTTGTGCATTAAGGCTTTTGTTAAACAAGGACCCTATTTCGCAAGGATTCTCCTTGATTCTGTTCATCTCGTACCATCCATGACGGTGGTGCAAGACTCAATAACAAATGAATATATGTAAAACAGATGTTATTTATTACCTCCGGCCCATGGCAAAAGATTTGCCGATTACGGATTTAGTGATAGCACACACTGCCATTAAGCGACTGCCCTGTTCCCATTTGCGCACAAGTAAGGTATAAGTTCTGTTGTTTTTAATTTCCCGGAAGATAATGCTCAAAACATGTCACATT